GGGTGAATAGATGAAACTAGCCTTCACGATAGTTTTATAACTGTGAAGGCATCACGGTCTATTGAAAACCGTGATGGTCACGGCAAGTTGTATGTCAAATGTAGTTTTGAAGCATCATAATACTTAAAGGACAGTGATGGTTTATTGGACTATCATAGTTCTAATTTTATTGATATACCTTCGTCATCGGGCGTAAGAACCCTTCATGACCATGTGGATTTTTAAGTATCGTGATGCCTTTTAACGACCATCACAGTAGTGAGTCTACCGTGATGTCTTCACGGTCCTAAAACTACCGTGAACGATTTTTTGATTAAAAAAAACAAAAAGTGAAAAAAAGTGCTATGGATGATGTTTTTAAAAGTTTGGGGTTTATTTCCAGTAATTCAAAAAATTAAAGTATATTTTTTTATAATTTCCCAAAAAAAAAATTGGATACTAAGTCCAATCATATATCTTGTAACGCTTCATCTAAACTATTTATTATAAAGTATTTAGTTATTTACAGATCCATCAAATCTAAATTATTTTTAAAATGTCAAATTTGATAATCAATGAAAAAAATAAATTACCCAACTGTAATAGAGTTCTATAGCATCAGAAATCCATTTTTCAATATTATTTTGTGGTGCAACTTTACTTTTTCAGCATAAAACTTAGGCTTCATGCACCCACACTCATCACATTTTTCTCCTTTTGCAAGTGTTGAGCCCTGCCTTCTTCCTAAGTTCCTACATGATTGGATGAGGAAAGGATGATCTTTTATTTCAATAACAATTAATTCAGAATGTAAAATTCACTTGACACTCATCACATTTTTCTCCTTTTGCAAGTGTTGAGCCCTGCCTTCTTCCTAAGTTCCTACATGATTGGATGAGGAAAGGATGATCTTTTATTTCAATAACAATTAATTCAGAATGTAAAATTCACTTTAGAAAGCAATCAATGGATGCTACCGCATTATAGCGGGGCATTGCCGGTCATAGGTTTTACCTTCCCATGCCAACTCTCATTGAGATAAAAAATAAGGGGCTAGGTTAGGGTGCTTACACTAAGGAGTAAGTTATTATTATACTCAATAATTTTGGACACTTCTATATTTATATTTTATGCATGGAATATTTTTTTAATAAAGATAATTTTGGTGGGTGGACATCATCTACGTAGGGTGTGATGTGATCTACATGAAGACATCAATGACATGTTCCATGTAAGTGATGTCATACTCCATGTGGATGATGCCATATCCCTCCTAATGACAAAAAATATTCTTATAAAAAAAATTCTCCATGTACAAAATAAAGATATATAAGTGTCCAAAATTGTTGAATACAATGATAAATTACTCTATAGTGTGAACACCTTAACATAACCAATAAATAAATAAATAAAAATAAAATATATATAATGAGACTTTTTACTTTTTGATACGAGGAGGTTCAATTATTGTCGTTACATTTGAAATCGGGTGGCTGAGGACGTGTCATTGTTTAGCCATCAAATCCAATATAGAATTTTTCAAATGTTGTAACATATTTTCATCTATCAGATTTCACATCCAATAGCTAAAAGTGATCATGACATCCTTGTATAATAAAAAATGGTCTCATAGTATACAATCTCATTTAAAAAAAATGTGTAAATACGTATAGTTGTATGCATGTTATGAGAAGACACGTAATTATGTTAAAAGTGATCGTGACCTCTTTGTTCCAAAATAAATAGTCTCATGTTGTAAATCCCATTTAAAAAACAAAAATTGTAAATATGTGTATTTGTATTGGAAGACACGTAATTATGTTAACCTCCAAGAAACAAGTTTCTCGACTTAAAAATCGTATTAATTGATAATAAGCATAATAGTAGTTATAAATTCACAAATGAAAAACTTCAATTTCCTTATTCCACATTGGCATCAAAACATCTTAAATAATAAAACTATAAAAATACATAACTAAACAATCCAAAAAACAAAGTGTTTGATTATTTTTCTTTTTTTTTTCTTTCACTTTTATTGAAAAATAAGCATAAAACCAACCTAAAATTTCTAAAAATAATATGATGAGATTGCATCATTTACGTTTTATACAAGAAGAGTCACAATCACCCCTTGCAGTCGTAAGTAAAATCTAGGGGTATTCTACTATTCTATGTAAAAAGATAAAAATTAGTAAAATTTAAGGGTGCTCTCTATTCCATATGCAAAGACAATTTTTCTTAGACTTTGAGCGTAACTAATTACAACCTAAGCCCCCCATATTTCACACTTGTGCTATAGGTTTATAACAATTTACATTATATTTTCTTGATCTTAGTCATATATATATATATATATATATATATATATATATATATANACTAAGTAAAGTAAAGTTAATTAAGTTAAGGTTACGTACGTAACTTACTTACTAGTTAGTAGTAACGGTAACGTACCTAACTAAACTACGTAAGTAGTAGGTA